AAGTAGACTACAAGCATATCGATAGATTCTTGAGAGCAAGAGCTTTCTAATGCAATGGTCAAAATCATGATCCGAGCATAATTTATGCGAAAATTGACGCTATTTCCGGTTCTAAGGTTGTTGAAATGAATTGTTGTTTAAAGTCGAATTTTAAGAGCACCAAAATGTACAAAAGAACCCTCTATCATCAAAATTTGAAAATTTTCTGCTCTAACCTCAAAAATAGCAAAAAACCGTAATTATGCTCGGATCATAAAATTAAGGATTTCATTGGAAAGAGGGGGACGAGACGGGTTCCAAACACTGGCTGTTGACCATATTTGGTAAGTAAAATCAAGAGATATTCCTGAAAAACTGCAAAACATAAAAATGTGCATAACTTCTATGCATATAATGCTACGGGGTTGATCGAGGACTCATATGAAAGATCTGGACCTGAGTAATAAAATTGCGCTCCCCCCTATAGGATATCCCCGTCAAAAATGCCGTATCTCGCTTAGTTTTCGAGTTATGAGCGTTTAAAGATTTTTCTATGTTTTATTGGAGCATAGCTCCGTTTTTCTCCCATAACTTTCGACCGATAAGAGGTAAGTAGACTACAAGCATATCGATAGATTCTTGAGAGCAAGAGCTTTCTAATGCAATGGTCAAAATCATGATCCGAGCATAATTTATGCGAAAATTGACGCCATTTCCGGTTCTAAGGTTGTTGGAAATGAATTGTTGTTTGAAAGTCGAATTTTAAGAGCACCAAAATGTACAAAAGAACCCTCTATCATCAAAATTTGAAAATTTTCTGCTCTAACCTCAAAAATAGCAAAAAACCGTAATTATGCTTGGATCTTAAAATTGAAGATGTCATTGGGAAGACGGGGACGAGACAGTCTCCAAACACTGGCTGTTGACCATATTTGGTTAGTAAAATCAGGAGATATCTCCGAAAATCTGCAAAACATAAAAATATGCATAACTTCTATGCATATAATGCTACGGGGTTGATCGAGGACTCATATGAAAGATCTGGACCTGAGTAAAAAATTCGATCCCCCCTATAGGATATCCCCGTCAAAAATGCCGTATCTCGCTTAGTTTTCGAGTTATGAGCGTTTAAAGATTTTTTCATGTTTCATCGGAGCATAGCTTCGTTTTTCTCCCATAACTTTCGACCGATAAGAGGTAAGTAGACTACAAGCATATCGATAGATTCTTGAGAGCAAGAGCTTTCTAATGCAATGGTCAAAATCATGATCCGAGCATAATTTATGCGAAAATTGACGCCATTTCCGGTTCTAAGGTTGTTGAAATGAATTGTTGTTTAAAGTCGAATTTTAAGAGCACCAAAATGTACAGAAGAACCCTCTATCATCAAAATTTGAAAATTTTCTGCTCTAACCTCAAAAATAGCAAAAAACCGTAATTATGCTCGGATCATAAAATTAAGGATTTCATTGGAAAGAGGGGGACGAGACGGGTTCCAAACACTGGCTATTGACCATATTTGGTAAGTAAAATCAAGAGATATTCCTGAAAAACTGCAAAACATAAAAATGTGCATAACTTCTATGCATATAATGCTACGGGGTTGATCGAGGACTCATATGAAAGATCTGGACCTGAGTAAAAAATTCGATCCCCCCTATAGGATATCCCCGTCAAAAATGCCGTATCTCGCTTAGTTTTCGAGTTATGAGCGTTTAAAGATTTTTTCATGTTTCATCGGAGCATAGCTTCGTTTTTCTCCCATAACTTTCGACCGATAAGAGGTAAGTAGACTACAAGCATATCGATAGATTCTTGAGAGCAAGAGCTTTCTAATGCAATGGTCAAAATCATGATCCGAGCATAATTTATGCGAAAATTGACGCCATTTCCGGTTCTAAGGTTGTTGAAATGAATTGTTGTTTAAAGTCGAATTTTAAGAGCACCAAAATGTACAGAAGAACCCTCTATCATCGAAATTCGAAAATGAGCGTCTAAAGGTTTTTTTTTTCTTGTTTCAAGTTAAGTAGGTTATGCAAAGCAAAATAGATTTGTAATCAGAATGATACAAAATATGCCGTAGTTACCGTCTATCACTACGTTGGACTGTAAACCTTTCTAACTACAGATGGCACTTGGTATGTGTATTTCTCCAAAAAGCTCATGATTACTGGAAACAATAGAGTGAAAAAAATCTTTCAGCTAATTTTTTTTCACATCAATACAATTTACAGTTTGAAAACTTCGAACTTTGCTTAATCATTACTTTTTTAATTTAGTAAGTAGTATAGCTTTTAATTTGGCAATACAAAAATTGAGAAAATTATAGTTTATGCTTTTAAAACAAAATCAATTTAACATTTCCAAGAACACAACATTGATTATTGCTTATTAACTAAAGCATTTCTCCTAGTGTATGTAATTTTTTTATTTTACACGATTTTACTGTTTGTGCTTGTAGAAAAAATAACAGATCAGTTTCTACCTAAGGGCTTTTAAAGCTACACGTAATGCAAAGTAAAAATAGTCATACTTTTGAAAAGAATAATATAGTAATGTTAATGGTTTCCATTAAGATTGAAAGATAAACGTGATCAGCTTAAGTTCCTGACATTAAATTACTGTTAATTTTTTTTTCTATTAGTTATGGAAAATGACTAGTAATGTATGATTTAGTTACTGCTGGACTAGTGGAACAATTGTCAATGCATGTGCATAAAAAATACACGAGACATGATTGTAATAAGTGTATAAATTTGAATTAATTATTTCATGTCAACATTAGAACTTATGACAATAATTTTTTATTTAGTCACCATATCAACAAACAACATTAGCAAATTTTGTTAAATATAAATATGATATATAGAAGCTTTTATGAATATTAAACTGAGCAAAATTGTGGCATAAGATAAACATAAACATTTTTTAATTAACGTTGTAATAATTTTATTTTTTAATATTACTTCATATGACTTAATCATAGAACTTGAAATATCATTATTGATTGTCATAATAATGAATATTTTTTATTGAACTAAAACATGTCAAGTAAAGCTTCCTGCAGTAAAATAATTCACATAGTTAGCATTAAGAGTATTATAATATAGAAGTGGTTCATTCTATTGAAAGTAGAACAATAATATGTAAGATACGACAGAATACATAAATAGGTAAGAATATTAGTAATGCATTCATATAGAAAAATTGTGATTTGTTATAAACAATTAGAAATGTTTTAAATTTATTGAATGATCATTACTATGATTTTATTCGACAAATATCAATAAAATGTTATTATAAATAACTTGATATGATTTAACAATGTGTATATTGTTTATAACAATTAATTCATGATTTATTTCTAGAGAAGTGAAATCATGAATGTTTATCTTGACTATATTTGACATTATTATTCTGCACCTTTGTAATATTTCATCATTACAATAACATTGTCTTTAACAACAATTCTTAGATGAAATATTACTGGATAATGAGAGATTGAATGTATGTTAAATAATGATTCAGGAAATAACTCGGCTGTTATGATTTTTCAACGATTAATTAATTGAATTTATGCTTATGAAAAGTAAGTGGAGTTAAATGCTCGACAATAAATTACAGAATGGCATTAATTCACATATCTAGTTTACTCGAATCGACTCCATACTTCTCTCGAGTTTGAGATGTCTCTTGATATCGAGGTAACGGATGAATGCATTTCATTCGCTTTTGCTTTTAGCGTAGTAAAAAAAAATATCAACATCTATACACTCTTGACGTGTAGTTGGACTAAATTTCCCATTGAACACATCTGACTGGTTTGAGAAGAACGATGCGAAATGCTTTATTCACAATATTTCCACGGCATTCACTGCTCCGAATAATAGTCACAGTATTAGTATTAGTAGTACGAGTCGTAGTAGTAGTGCTACTGCTGCTTTTTCTTATGTGACATGCACTGATCATGTATTTGTATTTATACTAAATAGTACAACATCGAAATATTTCATCCATGTATTTTACCAATTATATATAATTCCTGAATATTACGTTGAAAATTAAGTAATTAACTGATTTATAGTTTTATTCAATTTAAAATAAGAGAATGAACATGCTGATAATGCCTTACATTTACTGGAGTGCGAAAGTAGTGGAACTATTCAATATTAAATTTAATATTTCTACAAGAAATTTGTAACTAATTAAAATTTTGAAATTAAGATAAAAAAATTTAATTGACAGTTTATTAATTAAACTGGAGTTGATAAAAGAATTTTTGCCTATATTGTAAATTTAAATGTGAATGAAATAAACTGAAAAAATTTTTTGCTTTGGAATGCTGTACATTGTAGAGCTTTTGCTACAAAATTTTGTATAAATTTTTTTCAAAGGTGTCTTCTATTCAGAATACTTGAAAATATTTTACACCATTTTAGATATATTTTTATAATGTATTTTAAAATTATGTATTGGAATAAACTCCATTCAGGACATCTTCAATATAATTTTTAAAAAGCTTCCTTAAACTTTTGGTTATTGAAACAATTTCTAAAATTGCTATAAACACCATGGAATGTCAAATAAAAATTAAAACATGAAATAAAAAAAACACCCAAAGATATATTTATTTTTATGAGTTCATTTTTACATAGAACAAAGCTGATTATTAGCAACTAGTCTTCATATGATCTGTCCAAAGTAAATCTAGGCTATGTGAGGATTTACTTTAATCACATTTTTTCATGTTCACTATAACAGAGGTTGGCAATGTAATCATTAATTTTGGATCTTCAAAGTAGGAGCAAGAATTTTACAATTAAATGAAGCATTTCCAAGTAATCTTAATTACTCATGTGAAACTAGAACGAAGATTTGATGTACAAATGGAATAGCTATGTCAGAACAGGCAAAGGCTAATACCTTTGAATTCAAAAAGGCTTTTCCTATTGATTGTCATGAACTTGATGACAATATTCTACATAATAATTGGCAGCTATTAATACTAGACTATTTCACGTTGTAATGTGGTTCACTATTATTTCAGTCTGTATTAAAGTTGAAGGGAACTTCATTTTGGTTGCCATTCAGATTTTCTGTTGTGAATTTTGATTTCAAGTAAATTCAAACAGCTCTAGACTTTCGTAGGAGAGGTTATTTTAGTTGACATTATTCAGAATTTCGTGAAAGAGATATATTTGTAAGCTATTAATATGTAGCAAACAAAAGGTTGCTTGATTATCACAGAATCAATCTTCTTTCTTATCTTCATCCATGAATTTCTTCATTCAATTGATGATCTACATATTTCTATTCCTTTACTTTAGATTAATTTTGATGTAAAAATGTTGAAATGAAATATTTTTAATGATTCAATGTCTGAAATCAATTGTAGAACAAAATGGGTGAATATAAAAAATTTTAAAAATTAGAAAAAAAAATATACTTTCAACTTACGTAATTTTTGTCAACAAAAACTCTTTTACTCTTTCCAAGTAGTATTTTCCGTTTATTAAACTCATATTCAACATGACTCTTTTCATATTTACATAATTGTAAGTTTCATAATGAAGTTATTTAATGTTTTCACGTGAACTTTTAACTTCTTCTTGAAGTTGAACTTCTTGTGATGATTCTTTTCATTTGACATGGTTTTGAAACCATGTTGATATCACAAAAATAAATACGGGTGCATTATGAGGGCATAAGTGGTGTGCCTAACAAACAATTTCAACAGTACACCTTGTGTATACATTTAAATTAATTCTTTTTTTCTTTTATTATCTTTACAATTTTCCTATTTTGTCATTTTATCCTTCCAAGCCGCTCAATTGTACCCAAACTTTATACACGTTTGTGTTTCCGGTGTATATAAAATCATTGAAATTCATGCTTAGTTCTCAGTCCTCTTTGCATACATTCGCAATACTAACGTCACTATATCGAATCCTCAGAAGCACTAAATCCGTTACGTTTTCTTGTCCGTAGAGAAACCGCTAAGAGTCACGTCGGGAATGGAACCAAGTGACTTGCCACGCGACTCTACTACTATCGGTTTCTCGTCGATTCGGGTTTCGGTATTACCAAAGACTCTTTTGCATGTTCTATTTTAAAATTCTAGATGCGAATCTGATGTAGATTCTATCCCAGATCTCATCTCCTTTCTTTCGTTCAACATTTATACATTTTTCCTATTCTCTTACATATTTCCTGTTCTTTCGTGGGAAAAAGAATTATTCACACAATAAACCGATTTCGATCAATAAATCGGCTAACTATAATGGTTGTCATCGTCATATAATTGCTTTCAGTGATCTAAAAGCATAAAATATCATCAATGTTTCCTTCAGTTAAAAATATTCATTTTGAAATAAGTTATAATAAATTATTCAATGTATATTGAAAATTCTTTGCAAATAATCACCATCCAGAACGTAAAATTTTATTTACAGTAAACTTTGAAGCTTATTAATTGACATACAGTATTACCAAATATTAATATTTAATATAAAAACTATTTTCTCGATGATGATATTCGTAATTATAAAATTTTATTCTACATACAGGTTTTATTCATTAATTTTTCAGCTTTTGATTCTGTAATGTATACTCTAACTATTTTCAGTTATGGCTAATGTGATTAACCATCATGTTTAACTGATTTACTCTTAAGCATTCGTTATTCTCAGAATAATAAAAAATCTTCATAAATTTTTACTATATATCCTTTTCAAAAATACCATAAATTCATGAATAATCTCAAATGTACGGATAGAAGAATTTCCTTTATAGAAAAAGATAAAAATTATATGGCATTATAGATAAATATTCAAGTATCTGAAAAATGAAAGTCAAACGGTTGAGCATTGAACAGTAGTTAAAATGAATGAAATAATAAGAGTTTGCTCGACATTATTTATACTGAGTGTCAAATCGATTTTCAACTGAGTGAAATTCATTCTGTTTAAGGACATTTTTTGAAAGAATTAAATTATTGAAATTTAATACAATTCTAGTGTGTTATAAATTGAAAAAAATTCTATGAAAAGTTGAATTTTGTTTTTTGTTACATATAACACTCTTCGAGTAAGTATTTCTCATATGTTTTTTTATTTTATTTCCTCCAACTCCTCCACAAGTACTCGGTTCTGAAGTTCAGTATTTGGATAAGTTTTCTTTCCACACTGCTGAGTGTCGGTGTTCACTCGCACGTTCTTTTTCACCGCTTCTCCCTTATAACACTAAGAAAAACAAGAAACTGAAAATTACTGTTCTAAGCTTAGAAATACAGCTAACGTAAACGTTAGATAATAAAGATTCCCTGGCTTCAAGTCACTTGGTGATAATAATATCACTCACACATTTATCTGTGTTTTTAGATCTAAAAATGCTGGTAATAAGTAAATGAATTCTGGAATTATTTTTAAGAATGACATACAACAGTTTAAATTTAATTAAAAATATAAAAATACAATTTAGTTAAAAAAAAATAAATGTAGAGTAGAATGGATATCTAGAACATTGTCTGAATCTTTTTGAAATTAAAAATTTATATTTTTAGTTTATTTTAAGAATATTTTAATGCTAGAATAATAAAAGAATATATCTACTATCTTATTTGCATCCAAAACAATCCTTGGAAACATCTTCAGAATTTGATCATTGAAATCAATTAATTAAAAATAGTTTGAAGCTAAAATTCTAAGTATACATTCCAACGATGTCTAAAAAATTGCACAAAAATTCTTAATTTTCTATCTGCTCAGTCACTAACACCTAGGGGTAGTTTTGCTGATCACAGAAGATTAATAAAATTAGTTGACTATTTAAAAAAAATCATTAAAGCTTTCGATCAGGTAATAATTTCAATTAAAAATTAAAAGACTCTTAAAAAAATGTAGAAAAAATTGAAAAGTTGTTGCTCATAACTTACCTGAATTTCTATTTTAAACTCCATTTCTATTAGCATTTGTTATCCTTTTTCTAAGCAATTAAAACTTCAGGTTAATTCACTTCCAGTTTTCCAACATATTCAAAGGTACCAATGTTGAAGAAATTATTTAATAGGAACTCAACAAATTATTTGTCAATAGGACACATAATAAAATGTCCTTTGAATTAAATGAAAATTAATTTTCTAATAAAATTTATCTTACTCATTACTTTATATACTTTTACAATTAAATACTCTCTTTATTTTGTTGAAAGTTTAATTACTGAATTCAACAAACTGCCATATATCTGTGTGTATCTTGATAGAAGGATGATTAAAATTAATTCTATTCATGTAGGAAATAAGTTTTAAGAGGCTTTCAGACATTTAATAAATAAAAAAAGGAACATTATAAATGATATGTAATTTTGCAAATCCTTAAAAGATATTTTATGCTCTTAAAATCCTTCATAAAAAGTGTCGTAAAATTTTTTTTGATTTCTTTTTTATTTTTTAATGCAGATGTGTCGACTTTTCACGCACTTTTGAAAATTTTAATGAAAAGAATTATTTAATATACCATGTAGAATATGTGCTCCACAATAACGTCTCGACTTTATGATTTTCGAATTAGCATATCACGTGAATAAGATATTCGTTGCTTGTATAATTTATTCAAAAGATTCCAGTTATATTGCAATAAACTTCTTCAAAATCGAATTAAATTTTTATATTTTTTTCAGAATTTTAGCACATTAAGATGAATTAATAATTTACTCTCACAAACTTATAAACTCTTAGAGAGATACTCCTTTCAAATATTTATTACAATTCTTATTACATTTATTTCCTAAGTGGTTTCAAATTTTTTCCTACCAATATCCATCTTTTTTTTCACTACTTATTGTGGTGTTTGAATCAATTCGATATCAGTGCAATGTACATTCAATATGGTCCGTACCTTTAGTCAGGATATAAACTGTTGTTCGTGACCATTCAAGCGGCAATTATCTTGTTTCACCACAATTGAGAGGGAGACATTGAGACTTTGCGTATGGATTATCTTATGTGTGTCGTACCATATGAAACCACCAGCTTCTAGATGTTAACTAGATTTTAATCTTACTTCATAAATAATTTTCATCTGGTTATCTAAAAATCTAGAAGAATCTAGAGGAAGCAAGATTGGTCCAAGACTGAAGTCATTTGGTCAACATTGGTACTTGGGTTGATCACTTCTATAAAAATTCATGATTATGTTTAAAAGACCAATTAGCTTCAATCATGATTATTACTTTACAATAAAACTTATTGAGAGTTTTGAAACGTAACACTTAAGTATATCTGATGTTCAATGTTATAAAAAAATTCTAGAAAATTGGTTAACAACCTTTAAACACTTCTAAACATTTAAAAATTGATTTCACTTTTTCTATAAGTTGTTGATGACATATTACATTGAATGGTCTTGAAGTGTTATTTTAAACCTCTTCTTGAATTATTAGATTTTTATTCAATACAGTTGAAATAATTGTAAGTTTAATTCCTTTTTATTCTTGATAATGAATGTCACTTGACTATCATAAATTAAAGTATTTTGAATCTATATATTTTCTTAATAGTAATAGTGTATAAACGATAATTTTACTCGCTTTAAGAGAAGAATGTTGGCAAACTCCACGTGATTGAAATAGTTTAGCTAGTTGATATTGAATCATGTGGGCGTATTCGACTATCCCTATATACGTATGTCGTTAGCTAAGTACTGAAGATACTATAGAGCTTCCTATCCTCTGATTTACATGATACCTCTGTAATATTACATCGATCTAGGACTACGCCTTTGACATCATTGACGCACAAGCATGGTTGATCTCACTTTCATTAAGAATCTGGACATTTAGTATACATTGTATGTCAATGCTGAATCATTTGTCTTAACTGAATATATAGTTCTAGATACAGAGTAAATGTTTCTCAATGCTTTTATTTACACTAATTCATATCCATTTAATGCAAACAAGTTTTATGCATTGGATAAAATACCAATTATAATATTCAATATGTCGTTTAGGGAATTAATTGCTCAGTTAATTTACAAAAAGTTATTTATAATTAAATTTATCATTTATTTGTTAATAGACATTATCATTGTCATCATGTTCTGAATGATCTAAAATCATCATGAACATTCTAGTTCCAATCCAAGTACTTAAATGGAGATTAAAAAACATTTATGAACATCAGAATACTTTAGAAAGTTGAACAAGTAAATTAAATTTAATGTTACGTAAAATATTTTTATCTCTTTTGGTAATTGATTTCATTATTAACAGTTGAAGAAGAAAAAAAATATTTGATAATTAATGAACTGTCTGGGGCTATAACTTTTTCAATGAATCTGATTAAAAAATGCTGATTTAATTAGATTAATAGAGCTTTATTCCCATCTATTATATATTTGAACTAAAATTTTATTGATTTTTCGTTGAACATTTTATCCAGGAATTCAATAGCTTTTGATAACATTAAGAATAGTTCGATAAGAGGGAAAATAGAGTATTTACTGCAAACTGACATTGTATCTCTTGTTAACATCACTCTTTGTAAGTCACTACGAATTTTTTATTGGTTCAAGTGTTGAGGAAAAATCCAAAATTTCAAAAAATTTGAGTTATCTGCATTAATTGTCTTAAAAAGATAAAATGATAGGATTAAAAATAAAAATTTATTTCGATCAAAGGGGTAACAGTTGAGAAAAAACTTCATGATACATTTTTCACTGTCTAAAGTTACTGATTAAATCTGTCTCTTATCGTTGGTTCCAACTTATTACTTCCATTTTGTACTACTTTTACATGGAAGAAAAGAATAAAAATGTGTAAATAGAAGCGATAAGCATTTTCCTAGCACTTTGAAAAGGAAGCTAAATGTGTTGAATCAAGAATGAAACGAAAATTTGTATCACATACTGGAAAATTGTAATCCAACTATTTTATGCTAATCAGTCACTCCTTTACATTCATTTATCATTCTCATTATTCAATTAACATGTATCTTGTTGCCTTGTTACTTTTTACTTTTTCATTCTACACTTCTGAACCCAAGTTGTTTTTTTTGGTGTATTTTAGTTTTTCTTTGACCCCAATTATTTTATCAATACACCTGATTTCTTTTTTTTTCATATTTGTAAGTACCTCTTAGATTTCAAATCTATTTGTTTCAATAATCTGTATTGTTTTTGGAAGAATAATTAAATAAATAGGTTCTTTAATTCAATTTCTAGTTCAATATGTTTTACTGATTATATGTTGCATAATTTAGAGCTTAATAATATATATAATATATTGATATCGAATTCATTGCAAATTTAGTATATATTAGATCCAAATTATTAGTTTTATTCATTTAAGTAATATGGATTATAACAATTAATTATGAATTAAATCGATTGATTCAAAGTGATATTTTATTTATACAATAATACATAATTAAATACATGTATGTATATATTTATATTAAACAATGAAAAACCCGCATAATCCTCTAAACCTTGAAAATTCTCACAATCAATTAAGAGCTTTATACTAGTGTTTAATGCATCTCAAACGCCTAGAATCTTCTCCAACAATAAAGTTTTAAAGTAAATAACAGGATGCCTGGAGTCTTCAGGAAACCTACACTCGAAAGTTTTATGTACATTAAAAAGAATAAGTTGAAAACATGAGCAAGCAGAGCTTACAAAATAAATTTTATTTGATATAATTAAAAAATAAGTTTTAGAGATTTTTTTCCCCCATGGTTTTTTTTCCTTTAAATTTCATGACATTGAAGAAAAAATAAACTATAGTGAGTAAGAAAAATTAGACATTAAATCAGAGAAATGTATTATTGATTCTGTATCAAGGGAAGACTTTTTAGGACTGAGTAAAAATATAGTTGATTCTAAAATGTCAGAATATTGTGAAAATATTTTATTCATTTCAAGTGTTTAAAGTACATAAAGAGAAAGAAATTGTAAATGTTACTTGTACTCACTGTATTCTGTCACTCCAGGTCGACAAATAATATGAGATTATTTTTAATAAGAGTACATTACAATTCTTTCTGATACAAAAGTGTATAATGAACCAAAATTGTTCATCGTGAAAAAAATGAATTATAAATATTACAATTTTGGTGCATAATAAAATTTTCACCGCAAAGATTTGTAATGTGTTCTAATTAATAAATTATTTCTTTTAATTTTTTGACCCGAATCAGCAGGCTACAAAAAGAATTTACAAATTTTATTCCATCTTTAGAAGCAAAAAATTGAACATAAAAATAATATTTTTTCAGTGGAATCTAAAAAAAATTAAATTAATATTTTCTGTATTTCAAAATAAATTGAAGATTTGAAAGAAATATTTAATAAAAAAGATTCAATTAACTAAACTTTTTTTCAGTATATATGGATTTGTTGATACTTTGATGACTGAGTAATTAAGTAAATCTTTTAAAAAAATTAAAAATATCCACCCAACAGGTAATAGTCATCTTTTCATCTAGAATTTTCCAATTAATAAATATACGTTAAAATGATTCCTTTCAAATATAATCTCACCAATACATTTATTAACACAATCAATAGTCAAATAAACATGAAAAAATAAAAAAAGTTGATTAAAAAAAAATGACTAATATTTTTAACAGGCATCAAAGTGGTGAGTAAAGAGCTTTTATTTGTATAAAATTGATAGAATAAATGAAAATTGACTATGTTGATAAGTTTTATCACTGTTAGCGGAAATGCATCGCATGACGTTGAAGTACATTTGGAGGATTTCGATGATACATCATCCAATATATTTTGGAAGTTCGGAAAGCACACAGAGAAAAGGGAGAATCGAGGACAGTACATATTCGAAAACGGAAAGTGGACACGGTATTTTTCCGGCTTGCAACATCAGTCGAGTTTTAATACGATTTGTTGCAGTACTTCGTTCTTTCGCTATAAATATCTATTATCAACACTATCACCTTTAACGTTACAAAATCCACATTCTATCGAATGCTACATAAATCGTTGAAAATTATACATCAACAACTTAGGTCAAACCTATAACGAAATATTACTCAAGGATATTATCCTTATTTTTATTGTAAATCATCATTTTATTAAGTGCAATTATTAATTGCTGAAGAAAGCAACCTTGGTGGCTATGATGATAAATTACTCTAGGATATCTACTTCTTTCGACAAATAAAAACTGGGACAACAAATTAAAATATTTTATTAAATGAAAAATATGTAACAAAATGAGAGTCAGAGAATTCTTTGAAGCGAAATGGTTTATCGTTACTAATTTAAGATTTATCTTTTGTTACATTTTTTACCATTATTTATTCCTTCCTTTTTTTGGATTCTTTCTGGTTTTATTAACTTTTTTGGCCATTAACTTTCTCGTCATGAACTGGGTACTACGACCATTCAAGATTCAAACTTGATACTTTGTACTATGTATCACACTGACCTTTAATGCAGCCAACTAATTTTAATGCCATTACAAAGCATTTACATTATTTCAATTAATAATTATTTTTAGAGTTGTTATATTCAATAAATTCAAGCTGGTTTTAAACATAATATCAAAAGAATGATAATGTTATTTTTTTATATTGTCATAATAAAAAATATAAGAAAATTCAAACAAAATGAACTGATATAATTCTGTTATGCTTGTTTGAAAGTTTTATCTTGCTCCATGCTGCTGTTTACATAGAGAAGCGTAAATATTGGAATCACATTTGTAGTAATGCCTGGTAAAGAGGCATTGATTAAATGTATACATTTTCTATCTAGAGACTTTAATGTGATAATATATAAAATTAAACCTGATTGTTGGTAAAGTTCTGATGTTTTATCTCTAGGCTCAATGAAATTACTATCTATATTAGCATGAATAGTATAATTTATATAAATAAACATAGAAATAATTGATCAATTTTTTTTAATTTTAACATAGAATGTTATTAATATGTTAATCTGAATGTATTTATTTATAAATGCTATTTTTATAATTCCAGATGCAGTGTATGATTTGTTGCAAGCTGCAGTAGTAACCACAGAGGACAAGAATCAATATATTGATGATGGCCTAGATGGATTTTTTGCCTTTGGTTTCCGTCCTGGTTCAGAGGTTAAACAGCCTTATAGATTGTGCTTACCAGAAAAATTACCTGCTGAATTTACGATTGTTGCAACCTTCAAACCAACATCTCTGAGGAATGCTTATCTGTTTGCAGTACTCAACCCATTCGACACTGTTGTTCAATTAGGTTTACGTATATCAGTAAGTTGAAACATTTTCTGTCTACCCATTTCATATTCATTTCACATTCATGTCTCTTTTTATTATTATAGGAAGGCCCAGCATCAAATCAAAATGTTTCATTGGTTTATACCAATTCAGATGAGCATTCACATTCAGAGGAAGTTGCTAAATTCAGCGTTCCTAAACTAATAAAAAAATGGTCCAAAATAGTGATTCGAGTATCAACTACAGATGTTGCTCTTTATTTGAACTGTCATGAGATGGCCAGACAGAAGGTTACGAGGATTCCTCAAGAACTTGTGTTTGATACAGCTAGCACACTTTATATAGCTCAAGCAGGACCTCACATTCAGGAGAGATATGATGTAAGTAACAGAATTCTATGATTATTATTTTTATTATAAATGAGTCTCACTTGTTATTTTTTGCCAAGTAGAAAGAACAACAAATATTATGTCAGAGAATATTATTAGTTATTTTATCTCATCTAGTTCTGTATGCGAGATAATATCACAAATTGATAAACTTTGATTTGGAAACTAATATGTATATGACCTTAGAATCAATATGAAGTAATATGTACACTCATGTGTCATAAACATGCGGAAATAATTAAGCAAATATTACCGACTACATGAGTGTTCATTATTGGTTAGATTTTGCCATGTATCTGAGCAGTCTGTAAAGTGAAAACCATTCCAGAATATATTGACGTGGATATTTCTCACAGTTCACATCTCGCGTGGCGATTTTGGTTTAGGTTTCCACCTATATTCCCATCATTCTGCAAATTCGTGGTGATGAATATAGTTATATCACATTGGAAAAAGTATGCTTGTTGGAGATACCATCATGTCAATACCTTCAACTCCACATCCTATTTTCAAAATACATGATCAATCCTACAGTCAGTTAACTGTGAATTTGACTCATAAATTTTTTGTTTTACATTAACTATTTAAGTTATTGAATATTCCTAAAATTTTAATAATAAATCATCGATACATTTCCTCTTTTTGATGTTAGAGTGACATTTCTATTGAATTTTCTTCAACAAGTTGCCTTGAGTTTTATGTTTAATATTCGCTTATAAAAAATTCAAAGACAAAAAAGATGTTAATTAACGATCATTCTATTATATCTACATCAAAAACCCTAAAATAGTGTCATGTTTATGTAATGAAGTTGACTGAGATACAGTCAACACTTTATCATCAATGCCATAATTTTAGTAGTTTTAGCAAGCTGGTGGAAAATATAATTAACTGAAGCAATTTAGTTGATTAATATCGATTAAATCAAATAATTAGTTTATGCTTCATTATTATCATTAAATTAAAAAGTAAAAAATCAAACTATAAAGAAAGCATCATATCTTTTTTTAAATTCAAAACATATTGAAGCTTTTCTGAAACAAATAACAACCAGGATACTGGAGATTAACACGATATATGACCAACACTTTCTCTAATAAAAGGAGCTTTTCGATATCAATTTCAATGTGATATTTTTGCGGGCATTTTGCTATACAAAAAAAAAATCAAAAAATCTTTATGATTGGAGAAAAAAGCATTCCCACATGTGTACAAAACTACGTTGAATAATGTTGGCCATTAATTGCTAACTATAAACTTGAAAATCTGAATTTGTGAGAATTTATAGATAATATCTCATGTAAAATTCGATTTAAAACAATAGAAAGAATTGAATAAAACGTGCTTGCAGACGATAGTATAAAATTTGGTATATAGACGTACATGCATTTTTTTGTGAAAGAAAAATGCAAAGGATTGTATTTCGCAGAATAGCAAGTTTTAAATAAAGCCATCACAATCACAGTTTTAGTTTTTGATGTCGTTTTGAAAAGAAAACCTTATCGTTTGTACAGACTAAATACTTTGTATTCTTTTCCTGCTCATCTTTGCAAAGTGTACATATTATTCGTCATTTTCGAGCTTTTTTACTAACAGTTCAAATATATTTTTATACTACTTTTTGAAAAGTATTCCAACTTCTTTGACTATAAGTTTCTGATACTTTTTAATTCATTATAAGAAGCTTCAGAATAAAAATAATAGACCATTGAAATATTTGTATCATTGAAAAAAAATTCTTCTTTAAATGGATAATTTATTCTTGATAAGTTAGAAAGAATATTAAAGCACTTATCATTTATGATGGATGAATAAGATGTTTATAAAAAAACGCAGCATTGTTTATGTAATGAAGAGTATTAACGCTATAAAAAAAATATAAGAGGGAAATAGAACTGAAAGAAGTCATATATTTCTACTTGCCTTTTATTATACCACAAAATTTTCAGCCCTCGTGCATAGTACTCAAGCTTCCTCGAGTATGTCAATTCCACCCTCTAATTGGTTCAATGACTCACGAAAAATAACGATCTCATTACAATAATGTCGATTTACTGAATAGCTATTTGAATACATAAATTCAACTGAGTCTTCTGTAAAAGAATGAATTTTTTAACAGTTATAATTTGAAAGATTTTAATTAAAATATTGAGTTTTAAAATTATATCTTTATCGTTGAGTAACTTTTGCTTTAGATTGGCTCATTTGTTCTTCATCTCTGACTTGTTTTTAATTTATCTGCAATATTATATCAATAGATCATCATTTCTTCTAATAAATATCAACAGTTTATCATTATTGTTACATGAGAATCTTTCGAAGTATTCTAACAGGAAACTTATCATTAATAATTTAAGGTCAGGGTTTTTGCAAGTAAGCTTCTGAATTGATTATCGATTACAAATAAAATTCGGTAGTTTTTCATGTCAATCACAGTTAAATATGTAATAGTTTGGTGACTGGAAGAATAAAAAATCATGAAATCTTATTCTCAATTTAAAAATCGCATTCAATTCTTTATAAACTCTTCTTTTATTTTTGATTGCTTTAAAGAATTAATCAACTCTACTATCCTTCATCATAAAAAAGCGTGAATGAGTTGATGTAGGAACAGTATTTTGGGCTTTTAGTATTTATTTATTCAAAACAGTTCTTGATCAACCGGAGATGCTCATAAATTAAACTTGGCAGGTTAATTAGAAAGCCATGTTCATACAGTAAAAATTTTTCGATGTTTTTTCATCTAACTTGTTCTTTTTCTTCTCGACATTTTCAAGCTATTACTGTCAGTGGATTCCAGTAAAAGCAGTGTCGGTCTATGGTTTATTGGACAATAAATGTAAGAACGTATATGCGAAAGACGACGACCCGCTGCAGAATCTTTTACCCCGTTGAAAGTTATTAAGAAAACGTGCGGAAAGTATCATGAGAATATCTACCCATTTTCTACCCTTAGTTTCATTCTTCCCACTATTTTCTGGGTTATTCTCAAAATACAAAGCATACCATACTGTTCGGTATCGTTATTCGTTTTGGTGTTAGAGTTTTATTTGAGGATCATTACCTTTCGTAATAAACATAAAAACTTTTTCAGTTTCTCGTTTTCCTTTTTTTTCTGTTTTTTGAAATATCATTTTGATTTAGGAAATTTAACTTTTGCTAGAGTATTTATTATCACTAATGTATCAATTAGGTATCAGTATCTAGTGATCTAGCATCATGAAGAGTACTTGCATCATTAAAATCCACGAAACAATCATTTTGTTCTTCTGGAATAAAAAAAAAAAATTTAGAACTCATACATTTCCCAACATGTCTATCACCATCATGACAGAGAGAGAGAGAGAGAGAGAGAGTTTGATAAGAATGCATTTTTCAATATGTCAGAGAATAACTGTTGGAATTTTTTTCCATAAATGTTGGATGTATTTTAAGTCTTCTGATTAAACCATCTATGTTTTATGGAAAAAATCACTGTTTTAGTGTTGGATATTGATTTTTTAAAATCAAACATGTCACATATCTTCCAAATCCATCATTATTTTTTTACTCACCAAATCTTGTCCTATTATTACCATTTTATCTCATGACGTAGTATCAAGAATAGAATTTAACATTAAAAATTAATTATCTATTTTCATACAGCTCATAATTTTTAAGAATAATTTAGCATAAAAAATATAGCTTTTGAAGCTTAAATAACATTAATTTCTTATTTAAAAATGAATCTCCTAGTAAAAATGGAATAAAAAGATGTAAAAATTATAAGAAAACAGTGTTATGTAAACTAATAAGTTCTATAAAATTTGCAAAAGTTGGGAATGTGTTGAATGTTTGAGTGAAATAAATTTTTCTCCTCACACATATAGGATACACATGTTAGTAAGAGTAGCAAAGAAGTTATTATCGCGTGGGAGTCTGGCGTCACGGTTACCTTTCATTTGTCTCCGTCGTTTCTCTTTTTGTTTTCTTCCTCTTGTTCCTTTACATCTCACCCGTGATACGAACTATCCTTTACTTTCTTCTGGCCCTTCTGGACTCGAAGTATTTTTCGAGAATTTTTCTTTGTTCTCTATTGTTCACTTGCTCTTGATGCCCTCACAAGGCAATAGAGTAAATAACTAAGTGATGAAGATATACAATAGTAAAAAAAAAAACTTGATGTAAAAACATCCTGATAAATGACTGTGAAATTCTTTTATATAACGGACACCATTTAGTGCAATATATCTATACTGTCTGTTTATACGGTTGCTTAAAATTTAGGAACGTTTAACTTTCCAAAAAACAGGATTTGCACAGTCTAAATGGACGTGCCACCGCCCTCAGTTAAATTTATCGCCTAAGATGCAACCACGAAAATTTGCTGCGATAAAAATACCAACAACGAACGGATGTCACGGATTTATTCAGGATTTTCTTTTCTACAAAATCTTTTTATATTCGTGTTAAGAATTTTACTGAAATAAGTAAACCAACATATAATTATGTTTTCAATACAACTACGTAATATGTTTACATGCTGTATAATGAAGAGCAAAAGTTTCTTTTAGGTAAAAAATATATACAGTATAATCTTTCACCCTTACATATTTTTTCTAGTCCTGTAACCGTTTTCTTTCGTTTCAATTACAGCACTTTGTATCTGCCACTAATTTTTTTCCATTCTAACTACAGACTTATTGCCAGCTCCAAAAAGTATAAGCTCTTCACTTTAACGGAGTGTAGGTAACGAAAAAAAATTACATCGTATATTTAAAATATAAATTTGCAAATTGAACGATTTTGTTAGATTATTTATTATTTTTAACTTTTTTAAAAATTCTATTTCACAAAACATACATTTTTAAATGAGAAATATCACAAATAAGATTTTTCCTAACAACTTTTTAAAAAAGATTATTTTCAATGACAAAAATAGATGGAGTAAAAAAAAATTATGAACACAGTTCTTTGAATGAAAAAACTGCAAAAGAAAATATTAATTTTAG